GAGAAGTGATGTGTGATGTGGGGAGATGATGACTCATGGACATTTTTTACTTTGTCAAAAACAAGTTATGCACTTCACTTCATTAGGAAATGTCATTTCTCCTCGGGGATTTGAGGGAATTGAGTAATTTGGATATCTTTGTGGAAAGATGGGCTAGTAGCTGATAGTGGTTTTGCTGTAGGAAAAGAGGAAGGTTGTGTATGTGTGTGAGTGAGATTATTATCTCAGATAATTCTGGGTTCATTGACCATCAGTGTTGTTAATATTGACCACTTTTAGCATTGGGAAAAAGGGAGGGAAGGCCAAGCTTTAAAAAAATAAGAGGAAAAATAATTGGAGATATAAACTAGTTACATGCAATTGAGCCCTTCATCTCCTGTCATATAATGTATCACAAAGCCTTCTTTATGGATGTTGAGAGATTTATGAAAGGGAGTGAGTTGGAAACAGAGGAGAAAGTTGCAGATTGTGAAGTCCACCATCTGAGGGAAGCTGTGTCTTCATCCCTCACTCCTGCCAGAGAGCAGGCTGCTACATGTGAGTCAGATCTATTCTGGTAAGTCAGCCTGGATCAGATATGGGACAGAAAAAAGCTGCTCCTCCTGGAGCACAGTGTTATCTGGTGGGTACAGCTACATAAAAGAGATATAGCCATTCTGGTCAAGAGATATATTAACTCTTCATCTTCCCAGGCTTCATTTAATGGAATTTGTACAAGGGCTGTGCTCACTTCCCGGACAGCCTGCTTGTGAAGGAACTCAAGAAGCCAGGGCAGAAAATGCCCTCTCTAAGTCTTACAGCCCAGGTTAGTCCAGGAGGCAGCAAATATGAAAAAGTCTTGTGGACCTCTTCACTGTGTAGATGTGGAGACCTGCAAATGATAGCTGTGGGCAAATGAGGTCATCAAGGTGTACCCCTGAAATCTGGGTCAGAAGCCACATCAGCATGAAGACCACAGCCAAGGTCAGGGCTTCCCTCTTGCTTACCTCCCCATTTCTACTAGGCAGAGTGCTCTGAATTAAGGGAGAAATGGAACTTTTTGGTATTGGAGATATCCTGCAAGCCAAACCAAAATAAAATGATACAATGGGTTTAATAGAGAATAAGCTTCTGCACAGCTGCAGACTCCATCAATCATTATGTTCTTGGCTCTCATTTTGTAGTCAGACCTTCAAAGTCAGCTTTGGTTTATTTGACATAATTACTATAATAGTACCCATCAGCTTGTTAATGTAGAAGGCTCAGGTATTTGGCATTCAGGTCAATATGTCATACATAGATATTCCCTGTATTTGCACAGTGCTTGTTAGTGTAATGGCTCAGGAATGGACTAATGTCATATGAATAATTTCATCAGGGCAAGATTATTTAGATCTGCTCACCCCCAAACTCACATTATTTTTAAAAGCCATATTTAAATTCATAGGAAGCAGAGAAGGCTGCCCATATGAAAGGCTGCCTCACAGCAATCTGGGGTTTTAAAGAAAGTAACCCTTTGAGAAGGTCTAACTTCATTTGTAATTTCTTTATCTCCAACTCAGTGGAGCATGAAAAAGATCCACTTCCTCTCTCAAACCCAAGTACATGGGTGAAAGATAACTCAGAGAAAAGCAGCAATAATAGTCTCACAGACCTGTGTGCTGAAAAGTGTGGTCATATCTTGGTGTCTACATTAACAATTCAATCCCTACCAAGAATTTAATATGCTAGTCAATACTCATCTCAGGTTTATAGAGCTATAGAGAATTATAATGGGCCCATAAATACCCTTCCCTAAGTCACTATTAAGACTCTTACTGGTTAGGAAAATATTTGAATTTTCTGTTTCAGGCCTTTGCCACTAGGTTCATGTCATTTTTGTTTGCCTTTATAGATATAAATAAAAAAATGTGTGTAATTGTGACTAGCAATAAACTTACATAATGAGAGTTCCTTTTCTCCAGAATAATTTCCATTTTGCCACAGAAATAATTTTTTTTTGCATAAACATTTGAGTGGGAGTTTTTTTGTTATTCTGGAAGAGACAACAATACCATTGCCTTTTCTATGCAAAGGAAAATCAGTCAAGGAAGAAGTTAAATGATTTATTGGTTTCTGTTAGAGTAGTGATGAAAGGTATATGCTGGCAGATGTGACCTTGGAGGCCAATGTTCTGGGCATGCTGGAGTCCCACAGGACAGAGGAATAGGACCAAGCATGAGAGAACAGGCTGTCCTTTGGGCTTTGGACTGTCTCGGGTCACAGGCTGCCCTATGCCTGCAATGTGCTGTGCACACTAAAATGTACTTAAATATCCCTGTGTTTCAGACTGCAGGGTAAGGTACCTTTGTAGTGCCTTGATTTATTCGGAATGAGTTATAAACCTGCTCCAGAACAATGCCTTGAAATTGAATTCACTTCCACTGGGAGGAGACAAGAAGTTGAAGAAGTACAGTCACCTATGTGTATTACAACTAAATATTAATTTATTTATGTATTAATTTTTTGACTGAATTTCTCAATGAGTCTTTTTGGGCTTTCTCTGTTCCTTTGTAGGTGTGTCCGTCAGCTCAGGGCATGGTCACAGGAGTGCTGTTTAATAGTCTGTACATGTGAAATGATCAGAAACTTGGAGAGTGGTAAACAAGCAATAAGAAGTCAAGGTAAACACTTCACTGCCTTTTGAAGGGTCCTTATTGAAAACTAGCACGTAGGGTGAGAACTTTATCAAAGAGCAGATCATCACCATTAAACTTCAATTCAAAATACAGTAGTGCTTCAGTGTTTTCAGCTCCCCTTAGCTGCATGTGTGACGAGATGATGGCTGTCTATTTTAAAGTGACTTGAAAGGCTTTTTTGATATATTTGGGACTGAAAACTTTGGCAGAGTTTTCTTCTGATATGGACATGGTTACAAGGCTTCATAGCCTGCCTTACTTCAAGATCTGTCTAATACCCTCATAATTACTTTAAATGGGCTAGGAAGAAGACTGAAGTAGGGGATGTGAAGACCTGCCCACTATGCACGATCCCGGATGGGAGCCTGACTGATTCCAAGTTTACAATAGTTTCATTGCATTTTCAATATGGAACAAAGGTACTTCTGTATTTTAATGTTTGTTTTTTTATAGCTCTAATTCTAATTGTGTAAGGGGAAGTTTTATGATGCGGACATGTTATATTACCATTTGTATAACACCAGACTAGTAAGAACTGTTAACCATAATAATACAAACATAGTGAGCAAAGGGTAGAAAATGGGGAAAGGAACAGATACAGCCATAGTTGCCTGCTCTGCTTCAGAGAGCATCCAACTGTCCCAAATCTAAGGATCAAACAAAAATTTTTCACATTCACTGAGATTTTATATAGGCTAAATTCACTCTAGGCTTAGATGCCCATCAGATTGCATCAGCTTTTTCCTCTCTGCTGCAACAGGAAACTTTGATTTGATTTCCAAGGGACTCGAGTTTGGGTTTCTTCTAAATTAAGTTGTTTGAGTATTAAGGTTACTGAAAACTGTGACTGTAACTCTTCCAGGCTCCTCCATTCAATTTTGTGCTTCCAATTTCTGTGTTTCTAATGGAAGGGGTGTTTACTACCAGGCATCTAACTCGAACTGATTGGCAAGATTCTGAGAAATGTAAGTTGCAAAACATTTGATATGAATGATTTTTTTCTCCATCAAAAAGGTCTTATGTCAAACGTGAAGACAAGTCTCTGCTTTTGCTCTTCCTAAGTACTGGATGTTAGACATTAAACATTGAACTGGAAATCCAATTACATGATTATTAATCAAATGCATTTTTTCAACTTGGGGAAAAAAAGGCCAAATGAAACATGAAACTCCACTGGGAAACACTGCCAATTAAAGCAATTAAAAAAGGATGTGGAATTCTTAATTCTTACGCTTGGCTAGAAAGTTGATTGACTGGGCTTGACTCTCCTGGGAGTGGGTGTGCTGGGCAGTTTTTTATTTGCTTCTTGATATCAAATGCTTCTGTTTCCTTATGAGGAATAATTAATTTTCTTTGCAGGAAAATTTACTTATTATGATATGGGTAGCAGATCAAGTTTAAAATAGTTGATCTGGTTAAGCAATGCCTGTCTTAACATTTCCGCTCAAAGAGAGAAACACATATTCCTTTCACTTCTATTCTGCAGACAGACTTTCTGACAGCTGAAGTGTAGCCAGTAAATTTCTTTTCCATTAGTTGCAAATTGTACAACAATATACTAAAGTAATTACACCATAAATCTTCTTGCCTTGAAGTTAGGCTCTGCAGTACACACTCATAAAATAGTGCAGTAGCAAATAAAATCACTGCATCTGTGTATATTTTTCTTGCAATAATTTTTCTGAGGGTGGTCTAAAACATTGACAAATGTGAATTGGGAGGAACTGGAAAGAATTCAGTGTTTTTTGGTTTGTATAAGAGAGGATCTATAGTTCTTCAATAATGAGTGCTTCCTCGAAACCGCACATGGGTCAAAGAAAAGATTATTGCGAACTCTCCTTAGATGTGGATTATGAACTGAATATAATATTCCCTGGATCATCTTGGGTACAGTGAGTCTTTGTGAAGATCTGAGTCCAAGACAGACTGTGTGGAAGCACCTAAGGAGTCTGCCTAATGTAGACGATGTTTCTAGGATAAATCTAACCATTGCATGGCTCTAAAAAGCTTTGAAGATCAGAGAAACACAGGTTTCCCTGATCTCAACAGGTGAGAATATTTGTACTTAAAGAAGTAACTGCCAATACATCTATTTTTCTGAGGTCTCTAGATAAGAACAGACAGGTACTGTACTAAGCACCTGAACGTGAACAGTCATCATTTAGCACTCAACACTGTATTGAAATCTGTGGCAATAAAATTAAGGCCTCTTGGCAGTTTTGTTCCCAAAGCCAAGGGCTGCCATGGAGATAAAGCTGCCTGCAACCCTTCTGATACTCCTTGTGCAATAGGAAAGTTCCTTCCTTTTTCGGCAGCAACTGTTCCTTTTGGCAGCAACAATCCTGTCCCACCCCATTCTCCTCCTCCAGGTGGGCTACCAGATTCACAGGAAGTCATATATTGCTGAAGAGCTCTGGATCCACTTCTTCCATTGCCAAGGTGAGATAAGAACCCCAGGCTGGATTTATACGAGAGCACATAAATTTTAATTTGCTACAGTGTGTACAGATCAGCAGTCAGAACGTGTGAGCTTTGCTCTCTCCCCAGAGCAATGTCGATGCAGCCACTCACTCCTCCCAAATAAGGGACAGCATTTATAGAGTTATTTCCAGGGTTATGTCCAGGTTATGTGTGGATCATTTCCAGGACCATCTACTTCTTGTGGTTTGGTGGCACAGAGGGACAGGTGGATTCATGGCTGATTGCTGGAGAAAAGAGTGCAGGAAAAACTTATGCTGAAAAAAACAACATTGGGGCTTCTGATCCTGTAAAACACTGCAGCCACAGACCTCTGCCAAGGATCAGCCATGGCAGAAAGAGCCCAGACAACCCCCAAGTGAATGGGCTTTGCCATTCTGTGAATAATTACCCTCATATAGGCAGCAGCTTTAACTGAGTCTTGAAAACTTGAAACAGGCATCTGACTGATTCATCTGGAAACTGGGGATGTTCAGGAGCACCGGAGAAATATTTTCCCTGCACACCAAGGTCCAGGAAGTACATTTGATTATATTCACTATATTTGGTGTGATTTGCTGCACTCAGATATTGAGCTGCAATTAGGTGTTTAGAGACTCATCATTAATCTTAACTCTGTGCTGCCTATCAATCTCTTCCCTTACCTAGCTTATGGCATTATTCTGAACATTTTGATGAGGAAATATCCCTGCTTTGTAGTGGTTGCTGGTGGCAGAATTTCTGTGTGCATCTCTTGTCAATATCTAAATCTCTTTTATTCAAGGCTCTTTAGAGCACTTGTCTCTCAAATAATAATTATTATGCCTCTTGTCTGATTCAGAGATCTGATCCCTGCCGAGTTGGTGTCCTGACATTAGACCACTTCCAAAATTGCTTGTTCCTTGATACCTGAGCATATTCTTTGATGAAATCTCTCTTCCAGCTCATAGAATAGTTTCGTTTGGAAGGGATCTTAAAGATCACCTAGTTCCAAACCCCCTGCCATGGGCAGGGACACCTTCATTAGACCAGGCCAGAATACTTAAATGTGGCTTTTGATTTTCAATGCTTTTAAGCATCCAGTAACTGGATGTACTTCTTCCTGCCTGCATCCTTCTCTCTGGAAGCTTTAATCTCGTTTAGCCCTGTTCTTACATGGACACATGGTGATATCTCCTACTAGGGAGGAAGACCTCAGTATGTCACAGGTAAAGCTGATCTTTATCCATGTTGTGCTCAGCCAGCCTGAAGAAATGACACTCTAGAGGTTTATGGGAAATATTTTACATACATCTAATAATCCTGTTGTATTCTGTATCACAGGTGACACTCCTTTTGAAACCCCCAGGATAGTTTCAGGGCTATGAACCTGAGGATTGTTTACAAGAACTAGTAAGAACAAATTCACCCAAGATAAGAGCTATAACCCAATCCTTATGCTATACCATGCTGAATATCACCATGAAAGAGAATGGGGAAGTGACAGGCAGAATCCAAGCAGTTCAATTATTTCTGTCCATGCACAAATCACAAGCACTCAAGTACTTTTTCATTCAAACCCCATTTTCCCCCCTCTCTAGAGTCAACATATATTTTTCCTGGTAGTAGAGCTGTCCAATCACTGGAGGTACTATTGTCACTCTTCTACTTCCAAAATTAGAGGCCTTCCTCAAAAAAAAGAAGAAAAAGTTGCTATTTTGTTATTCAGTCAGAGTATGGGATATACTGGGGAATGTGATGTGAATGGAGTTATGGAGAGATCACTTGACAATCCTAATGTTTTTGAAATCTGTGGATCTACCTCATAAGTTAGACCCTCTTGTGGATGAAAAAGCTTTGAATGAAGTTGTAGGCCAGCATATTTTGTGCAGTTTAACATAAATGAGTTCTGAACTTTTCTTTCCCTGGAAGTATCTCTAGGACATTTCTTAAGCTTACCTGAAGTTCAAAAGTTTTTGTGTCTCTGTTTAAACAAATGTGGGTTGTGCTCTACTATGTTTTTGTATAGATATAGGAGAGATGGGAAACTAAGCTGAGTTATGAATATTTCTCCCCTCCTTCTTTGATGAGATGTTGTATCAGATTGATTATAGTTGTCCCCTATACATTAAAGTTGAAAAATATCCATATTAATAACTCCAATCACTTGCACAGAACACTGCCACAACTTTTAACCAACAAACTAAATCCTGTGGACATCTACAGTATAAAGAATAAGAAAAAAAAAGAAATAAATGTTTCAGGCAAGTATGAATTTCCTATTATAAGCATTTGCAGTTACTTTGGCAATAGCCAGACTTATTATAAATGCTATAACTATATTATGGAAAATAAATAGTTGGAAGAGAACAACACAAAACTAGCATCCAAAACCATCATGAGAAGAAAAGAGTTTTAGAAAGGATCAGAAACCCCTCACTGTCTAAAGTCTCTGCTGTGCTTTACTTTCCACTGCTGGATACAGAGAAGCAAATCCAAAGTATTCACTGCATGTCTTGCCTTGGTTTTATTTATGTTTGGCATCAGGATGTAGCTGTACTAGCTCCTCCCGAGTGAGATAAGGTCATATTCATCATTCAGTGTTTAAACAATCCTTGTGTTTTAAATGTCTTGTACTACACATACTACTAGACACTTAAACTGTAATCTCTGTTGGGTTTCTATGAAATTTTTCATTTTTCCTGCAGCTGATGAAATGAATGATGATGATGTATTTCTTACCAAAAGCATCTGTCATTTAAACCCCACACCTCCCTGAGCTTTCAGTTGTGTTCAAAGTCAAAAAAAAGCCTTTCCCCCCTCAGTTCATGAAGAATGACAGCAGTGTTTAAATGGAGTCCAAAGAGTACCTGCAGATATGTGTTATTTGGGTTAAAACCTGGACTGCTTTGTCAGATGTTCAGTTTCCTGTAGAGTTCAGGCTTTATGGTAAGCTAGGTCAATTCTATGTAATTTTGGACACAACTTTTTCCAATAGCTCCTAGGAAAAAAGGCTTATTGGGCATGGAAGCTAGGAATTTTTGCTCTATGAAATTATGTTTTCTCTGTCTTGCTCTCTTTTTAAGTAATGCAGAGATATTAAACACAAAATTCAATTTGTTTTCTAGTTCCATGGTGGAATTCAACTAATTTAAAAAGTATGAAGCAAGTTTAGATTGGCCAGTTCTTGAAAACTCCAAAAGACTAAGGTGTTACCTGAAATATTGCTGATATTTATAATGCAGGTAAATAGATTTTGTACTATCCAGTTGATTATCAAAGCTGGGAAAACCCATGGAAAAAGACTGGCTGTCTGGGAAAGGTAGAACTAACAGTTATAGGCAGAGGTTTTTCTAGTGTTGATTCATAGTCTCCAAAGAGTTGCCAGCCTTACCAGATGCTTTCAGAAGGTTATTCTATTTTTTTTGTTGGCCCTTTTTACCCTCTTGATGTCATACTTTATGTCTCCTGGTTGTTCCCACAGGGAGAGTAGAGGGACCTTCCAGTGGAAGGTGGCACTTTGGCAAGGATTGAGAGAGATGAAGTTGATTCATGCTAATAGACTCTAATAATTAATGGCATTAAGAGCTGGAATAAACACATTCATCCTTATCGTGCCTTGATCCAAAGGACCTACTTACCCATTTCTCATGTAAATCAGCATGTCAGGACATTTCACAGAGGGATGTTTGTGACAAGTACTGAGCATCATTCAGGAGGGAGATGCTGATTTTTCCAGAAGAGGCTTCCCTAGCATTTTTGTTTGACTCTTGAAAATGACCATCCACTAAAAGGAATCCCAGGAGGACAACAGCTGCTTGTTTCAATGTAGTTTGTACAGTCTCATTCTCCGTGGATGTGTATTTATGTCATACTTCTGAGCATATTAACCAATTTCAGCTAAATCAGATGAAAGGGCCCAGATGAAAGAGCAAAATTTGCTTCTTCCACCTTCTTCATGACACAAGAACTGATTGAGGAAAGCTCTGACATGCTGGGAGGAGCCTTTGCCTTCCCTCCCCCCAAGATGTTCCTCATAATTAGCTCAGTTGTTGCCTGTCAAGGTCTGGAATTCCATCTGATGCTGAAAATGTCGAGGCATTTCTTGTGTTCTTCAGTATAAGAAACCACAAGCAACAAATCTAACCATCAGCCATCTTTTATCATTATGCAGCATTATGAAAATCATTTCTCCATTTCGATAGGCCAATGGTGCCATTGATTGCTCTATTCTCTGGCAGTCGGCGCCAGACTTATCCTTTAAACCACATAAAGATTATCTCGGTCTCCTTTCAGCTCTGTGATTTCTTTCTTGTCATTCACTGCAAGAACACAATTTGGACTACCTGGTTTTCTGCTCTCAAGTATTCTGTCAGGCTTATGTTTTTATAGGAACTCAAGACATTCTTTTGTTGTGGCAGTGAACAGTAGGGGTTCAAATGGCTAAGATGAAACATGAAAATCTCCTAAAAAATATCCCCCATTCTTCTCTACTGTAATGCTGGATCCTGCCCTAGATGTAAAGAAGATCAGAAAAGAGACCATTCCTATTTGCTGGAGGTTTCAGGGATCTCTCAGCAGACTCCTTGGGGCTTTGTTGTGGTTAAGCAAACATATTTACTGCCAGAAGGCAATAAAATTAAAAAAGTCCATAGCAAATAGTGACAACTGTTTATCATATTTGAGGCCTACAAAGCAACTACAACTGAAATTATCTCCAAGCAGACACCAAATAGAGTTTGTGCACCAAAGCTCCTTGTGGATCCCAAATCAACATCTCTTCCTGTTGGTTGGAACAGCAAGAGCCTGGAATTAACTTGGTTATGTGGCATATTATACCAGATTTAGAACGGCGTAACCCAGTTCAGAAAATTATCAGACCAACTATGGAAAACATTTAAAAATATGGCCTAATCCAAGGATTTAAAACCTACACTTGAATTTAAGCACATTGCAGAATTGTTAGAAATTAGAAGTTTCCCTTTTTAGTTGCTGGGTGCTGA